ATAATTTTAAGGTCAGATATACCCGGAGATATATAACTAGGCATGCCCTTTGGTTACAACGTGACGCTTTATTAACTTTTGATATGATAGTAACACAATATTTTTGCACATCTACATTTAGTCCAGTCCTGGCCTCTCGTTTCCGACGCTCGCGGAATCGCTGGGGAAAGAGAGTCCAGTATAACTTGCATGCGCATGTGCAGGACCAGCCAATCAGAATAAAGTTGAATTTTGAGAGCCCGCAATTTATAATGGTCAGTGGTTTGTTTACTTCACGTGCACGCTATATTCTGTCAAAAATTTGAAAAATAATGGCGGCAGCTTCGGCTTGCAGGTTTTGCACTAAAACTTGCGCTCCAGCCAGGCGTTCGGTTCTCTATAGTGCTTACGGTGATTACACTGAAGTAGCTCGACTTTTTTATGAAGTATATGGGCAAAGCGTAAAAAAAGACCCGTCTCTGTCGCGSTACTGTTGCAGAAATTGCAAATTAAAAGCGGAAAGAATAAAAAAGAACAAGAAACCTACACGTGCAGAGTCCTCTCTCAATAAAACACCCCAAACTCCCGAAAGACCCGTACGAGTTAATTCTCCAGCAAGAAAAGCGCCACGAATATTCTCGCCCATTCGGCCAATACCAAAAAGGACAAGTTCTCCCATAAGAAAAACTTTGACRGCTATTTCACGAAAGGTTGGTACAATTTCTCTGCATTTAGTATTGCASTATTCGTYCCGTACTTAGACCTATATTTGGCATTTTTATTATTTTGTAGGATTTAGAAGGGAATAAATCTGATGCGGTTAACCAAACACGGGATAAAACACCCAAAAGTCGATTAGGCCTACAGTTCGGTCAAAGTAGCGCTCAAAACGTCCRCATTATTGATAATGGCTGTCCCATTTCTTTCCCACAAATATCCTATCAGATTATATGCTACTCCCCTCTTGGAATAACGCCGGTATCTGTACTACCAAAATGGAACAACTTATGTCAAGCAATAATAGAGAATAACGTATGTTAATGTATGTAGAGAAGCCTTGGATATGGAATGTGCTTCCGAATTTTGTGTCAAAAAAACCTATAAACTAGTTGAAGAAGAATGTAAAAGTCTATGTAGTGCAGATAACAAGTCGATGCTCAAGCGAAAGGACCTCAAGGACATTAGTTCGTTCAGCTTTGAAGCTTTTATGGAAGATGAGGTCAAAGTGAGGGCAAAGACATTATATGGTACAATTTTGACTGTCATTAATGCTTATGGTATTGAGAGGAACATACTGAAAAATAAGAAGAGAAAACTCTCTGCAGCAGGAATGGCCATCTCCATACTACTAAAAACAAGGAACCAAAACATGAGCGCTGGCCAGTTATTTATATCTTTAATTCTTATCAAGGCAGGGATGACTAGAATGGTAATTATTATTAAATAGTTGATTAAATAGTTTGAAGAGGCCAGAATAACATTCTGTATAATTGTTTGCTCAGTGGACATTCAAGTGCATAATACACATGTTACATTACTTCAATGTTTGATCAGTTCCTTCACTTATACACTTCATGTACCTCTATCCATAAAATAATAAAACATTTCTTTTTTTGCATTAAATAATAATATCATTCCATAAGCAATGAAATTGTTTTTTGGATATTAGGGCTATACTCSTCTGAACCACCTAGAAGTGTGCGTATCGTATCAAAGAMTTCTGAAATTACTCGATGACCTGGGAMAAAATCATGACAGTGAAGTAAAACAATGGTTACAGTCATCACCAACAACCATCAAGTTCATAGGTATATGATAGATTATCAGAATATAATATTGAACCAGTATAAGAGCTAATACTGATAAATGTTCATGTAGGTGACAACATTGATGGGAAAATGAAGGCAAGGGACCAAAGGAGTACAAATACCAACTCTGATTACCACTGGTTTTTGACCTTGGCAACCAAAGACAGGGTAACCTCTGACCACTTACCGCATGATAAGCCCATCTGCAATCTCAAGGAACTGCCACTTTCCACTTTCTTACTGTCTGAGAATGATTTGGANACTAAGAAAGACTGCAATTGACAAAGAAAACCGCTTAGCTGGTGTCCTTCCAACAGCTGAAAACTGGCACACAATGATGACATTACTGATAGTATGTATAATAATTATAATATTATACCATTTAATGCAATAATATGCAATAAATTATTAGTTGTATAAGTGCTAATTTGGATGTTCTAATTTTTTAAATTCTGTGTATTATAATATTCCTTTGTATTCTCTACCGTGGGATATAAGGCTGTAACAAAGGATATATATATGCCCCACATTTAAATTAGGGAGCACAATTTTTGTGTTTTTTGGTGTATAACATTTGTGTTCTATTTTATACTAGGTTATTTTTACATATTTATGGAGTAACAAGTCTGCACAAGATATTGGCACTCTCTTTCAGCTAAGATGTAGTACTCACCTTACAAATGTGACAGGTGACGTCAAACATGAGATGAATCAGGTATGTAACATTTGATTTATTATAGTAAGTCATGCATTTAGTTATGTTAAGTTATTTGTTAGAGTGCATTCATTATATCCATGAAATAGTTTGTAAGAAATTGCACAAATTTGCACTTATTAAACAATAGAAGACAATGGATTTCACACCTATTTGCCAAATTTAGTTTGCAAACTATTTCACGGATAGATTGAATGCACTCTATATAGACAGTAACAGTTATAACAAAGTTAAATGAGCCATTTTATCTATATGTCTTTATAGCCATACATACTTTATACTGTTCAAAGAAAACTCATTACTAMATTGTACAAAGTTTGGTCATAGTTAATAGTCATAGTCTATTAACTATGGTTTGGTAAATGGACAATAGAGAATAATACACTTTTAAATCGGAGAATAATACACTTTTAGTAAAAACAGTCAGATGTTGTACATAATATTAATATAAATGTCTTGTGTCCTAGACTGTGGATTTTTTTGATGATGTCATCAAAGCACACTGCATTGCTGTGGTTTTAAAGTACTTTGGAATGAATGATGTAGATGACACACCAACATGTAGTATCCCACCTGATMCAAGCTCAAAATCATCTCAAAAGAAAGACTGGCTCTATTCTTGTGCTAAAAATATCATAGACACCTTTCTAATAAATGACCTAGAATCAGCATCATTTGATGAGGCAGCAGGTAAAATACTATTAAAAAATAAAACTTTGAAACAAAGCAACACTACAATAATAGTTGTGCTTTCCATATCTTAATCATTACTTATACAATAATTGTATTAAATAATATTATTATGTAATTAGTGKTTTAAAACATGCATATTATAATTACTTTAGAATTTGATGATTCAGACCAGGTTGAAGATATCCCACAAAGCACAAGTGCTTTGGATGAAATCTTTGGTAAGTAAAATCAATTGTTATTTTGAAACTTTGAAACAAAGCAGCACAATAGTTAATTATTTAATTAGTTACTAAAAAATGCATATTATAAACTTTAYGATTTGATGATTCAGACCTGCAGGTAGAAGATATCCCACAAAGCACAAGTGCTTTAGATGAAATRTTTGGTAAGCAAAATCTATTGTTATTTTCTATTCCACTGATAAAGCAGGCRTATTTGACATCACAAGGGTCATGGATATGGACAGCTACATGGACTTTTAATTAAAATTGTTGCCACTAGTCATTTCACTGATACCCTCAAATAGTTACACATTATTACTTAGGAGGTATTAGTGTATCACAGGTTACTAAGTATAAAAAGATTGAATTGTTATTGTTACATCATTTAACAGTAGAAACAAAATCTGATCTCCTCCCTTGGATGACTTCCTCCAAAGAAGAAGACAATAAGAAAGACACTAAAGAACCGCAACCAGACTACATCTATAATTATGCATGTTCAGTGTTATCTCTTGGACTGGTATTTAAAGAATTCCAGGATGCCATAAGAGAGGGTGATGGAGACAGAGAAGAAAGAATTTGGAAAATATTGCTCTTACTGTTCAAAGCTAAAGTCAAGACAAAAGGCAGCAGAACCAAGTATGCATTTGAAGC